TGTGTGTGTGTGTTTGTCCTGCCCTTGGCTGAGGCCTGGAGCGGAGCTTCTGTTCCAGGTTTCACTGTGTGGTCACACGTGGCCATCCATGACTTCAAATGTGACCGCGGAGCCCAGAGGTGTTTGGGTTTGGGTGAAGCTGGCGATTGTGCTGAGATGCAAGCCTTTACATTTTTCCAGTGGTTCCTCCAGTTGGATAGTGTGAGCTTGCTGGGGGAGGAAGGGGAAAACCAGGGCGGGGGGGGGCGGGGTGGGGGGGGAGGGAGAGCTTGGACCTGAGTTCAATTGTCCAACCATAAAAGGGAGGAGATCAGAATGCCAATGGCATCTTTTCTGTGGAAAGTCACCCCTGTAGGGAGAAGAGGCACACGAGGCACACTCCATTTTCAAAGCCTCCGTGTGAGTGGTGGGAAGCAAAATGTCTTATTGAGAATTAAAATAAAAAAATCAATGACCTGCTGATTGGAGGGTACTCTACCATTGAGCCACACCACCAGCCCTTTGGCTTTATTTTTTACATAGCATCTCTCCTGTTTATTCAGCTGGCCTGGACTTCCCATCATTTCTACCACTCATGCACTACAGGTAGATGCGGTCACACCCAGCCTGTTCTATGAGATGGAGGCTTTGATAACTCTTTGCCCAGCTGGCCTCAAATCACAATCCTCTCGAGGGAAGCTCCAGGAGTAGCTGGGATTACACACCCAGCCCCGCCTGTTTCTTTTGACTCTTCTGAGTGTGGCAACTAGAAAATGTTTTACCTGGGTCTCATATGGTGAATCTAAGAAGGATGGACACTGTCATCAGCTCTGTTAGGGTCACAAGTGCCCAGGTGGAGTAGTGCCCTCCCGTAGTCTCTTCCTGTGGTTTGAAGTCCATCTCTAATACTTTAAGAACAGGGTCTCTAGCTGGGCCTGGCGGCTCACACCTGTAATCCTAGCTATTCAGGAGACTCAGATTTGAGGGTTACAGTTCAAAGCCAGCCCAGTCAGAAAAATCCTTGAGACTCTTCTCTCCAATTTACCTCCAAAAGCTGTGGCTCAAATGGTAGAGCTCCTGCCTTGAGCAAAAAAGCTAAGGGACTGCAGGAGACCAGGCCTGAGTTCAAGTCCCAATAACTGATGTATGCACACACACACACACACACACACACACACACACACAGTGGGGGTCTCCAAGGTCAGAGGCAGAGCTCAGCGGTAGAGGTAGAGAACTTGCTTAGCAGGTGCCAAGGTCCTGAGTTCCACCCCCACCCCCACCCCCAAGCACCACAAAACACATAAACCAACAACCAAGAAGGGAGTCTTGGGAACTTAATAGGTGATTCACAGCTCTGGGCCTCCATTTCCCCCATCTGCCAAATGGAAACCAGTGCTGACCCCAGGCCTGTGGGGCCTGGCCAGGTGCAAAGCCCTTGGCATGGGGCCTGCTCAGGTGTGCTCGGGGGGAAGGTCACGGTTACTGTCGTCCTGGATGGCTTCCGGGAGTTGGAGAAAGAAAAGAAAAAATAGAACCCAAACTAAGCCACCAAATAGGCACAAGTGCCCAGGCGATGGAGGGGGGGGAGATTGGGAGGGGTGCTCGCCAGATCCGGGCACGCAGGAGCCAGGGTGACCCCACTTCCCACCTCTGCCAATCCCTAGGCTATGGACATCCCCGCCCCCCCTGGCGTGGAGGGCAGGAAGGCGGCTGGAAGCTCTCATCCTGACACAGAGACACAGGCTGTAAACTGAGCATTAGCAAGCCGGCCATAAAACCCAGAGCAGGGATCAGAAACCACCCATCAGGGGACTCAGAGGTCAGAGGGAGGGAGGAGCGGCCACGAAGGCCACAGTGGGCCACCCAGGTCCAAAAGCAAGCTTAGCTGCTCTTAGCCTCCCTACCCTGATTGAGAGAGAGAGAGACCCCGCCCCGCAGTCCCGGCTGAGCTTCCTTCCCACTTCCTGCCCCTCCCCAAATCCTGGGCAAGATCCAGGCACGGTTCCCAGCGTGCTAATCCTGGCCACGCCCCACTTGACAGCTGTGTGACTGTGGGCCAATCCCTCACCCTCTCTGAGCCCGAAATCTTCATGTGGTAACACTTAGTCATTCACTTTGGTTAATCTCATCTGGAAGGATGAGCTGCATTAATAGATGGCACAGGGTGAGCTGTTGGAGGTTATAGGGATTGTTAAGAAAAAAAAGAAGCTGGGTGTGGGAGGCTCACCCCTGTCATCCAAGCTACTCAGGAGGCTGAGATCAGAGGATCGAAGTTCAGAGCCAGCCTGAGTAGGAAAGCCCTTGAGACTCTTATCTCCAATGAACCACCAGAAAACCAGAAGTGGCGCTGTGGCTCAAGTGGTAGAGCACCTGCCTTGAGCTGAAATGCTGAGGGACAGCGCCCAGGTCCAGAGTTCAAGCCCCATGACTGACAAAAACAAAACAAAAAAAGCCACAACAAAATCAACCCCTGGCCTCATCCATGCTGGTCTCTGGTTTTCTTCTTCAAGCTTTATGGGTATTTTTTTTTTCCATGGTGCTGGGATGGAATGCAGGGACTCCCACATGCCAGAGCATTCTACCATGAAGCCACACCTCTAGCCTTATTAGACCTTTGGAGTTACCTTTTTTTTTTGCCGGTACTAGAGTTTGATCTTAGAACCTTGGGCTTTCTAGGCAGGTGCTCTACCAGTTGAGCCACGCCCTCAACCCTTGCCTTTGAATTCCCCCACCCAGCGCAAGAAGAAGACAGCCCCCAAACTGCCCATCACACAGAAAGTAGGCGTCGGTATCTAGAACATTGTAAGCAAAGCATCTGGCCGACAGTCCTGTTGCTGGAATTCAATGTTCAGTATGTGTGGTCCAGGTATGCCTGTAATCCAGGCGCAAAGATGGAATGGGGCCCCTGGGTTGGTTCTTTCAAGCTGTTATTTGCCTCTTCTGGTCCTTGACACCAGCCACCTGTGACTCCTCTGACAGTCTAGCCTCAGCCCCTCCCCACCTCGTAACCTTGACTCGCCTGGGCTCAAAGGTTGCCCAACCTCTCTCCATTCATCTATTCATTCACAGAAACCCACGGGGTTTCTGTTGCCTGCCCTTGAACAGGCAAACATTTTGGTACCCCCAGGTCAGATCTGAAGTCGACAGCGGTGAGGGGTCCAGGGAACCCATTGTGGGCTCACCAGTCCCTCTCCCTTTCTAACCTTAACTGTCTCGTGCTGCATCTCCAAGCAGTTCGGTAGAAGAGACAGGAAGGGCACCTGGGAAAAGTTCAGTACACATGCAAAGGCCCTAAGGTGGATAATGCCAGCCAAATAGGCAAAGGAAGCAGCAGATAGAAGCCAACGTCAGGAGGGAGGTGAGGACTAAGAGGCAGAGAACCTTAGTCGCAAGTCTTAGCACGGTGGTACATGCCTATAATCCCAGCACTGGGGAGGCTGAGGCTGACTTGGAGGCCAGCTTGGGCTACATAGGAAAACCTTGTCTCAAAAACAAAACAGAAAGCAAAGACCTACTGGAGCCACATCCATCAAGGAGCAGATGAAGGGAAGACAGAGATCGGGCCTGCCTGGGCCCCCAGTCCACAACCCCATTTCAAACCTGTCCTGGGCACATCTGTCCTGATCTCTATTATGTATCTGTGTGTGTGTGAGGAAGATTTCTGCTGGATACAAGAAATCTGTGTCTCAAGAAGGCTTTGGACAGACAGAGGGGACTAGAGCTAGGGCAGCTGGGGGTAAACTCAGGCTTTTAGTATAGAATCCCCTGTGAAGGAGCCGGAGGTGCAGGGTCAGAGAAGGAAGGGGGAGGGGCTCTGAAATCAGAGGGTGGGCAGAATGCAGGGGGCCAGGCCTGGAGGGGCTTGGGCTACTGGGGAGTCACACAAGAGCTGAGAGATTGGGAGAGGCAGCTCAGGGCCTAGCTGAGGTTGAGGCTGGGGGGCGTCCGGGAAGGAGACGGCCTTCACAGGAGAAGGGATGGCTCTGGAAGAAGCTGCATCAGCAGGGGTGTGGTGTTGTCTGAGGGTCCTGGGAAGGGGGGTTCCCATTAGGCAGGGTTTCCCCCACCCCAGGGGAAGGGGGAGGTGATGGAGTCCTGGAAGCCAAATTTGCACGTGAGGCTCAGAGAAGATGAATGACCCACCATTGAAAACACACCCAAAAGGAGATCACGGGAAGGGACTGTGGCCTCAAAGAGTTCTCTAGGGGTAAAACAGTACAACCCAGAGCCCCGGGAGAGAAAAGGTTGGGTAGAAAGGGCTAGAACCTTTTTTAAACCTGAGAGAGGAAGCGTGGCAGCCCAAGGGGCCCAGAGACGCTAGAGCACAGGTAAAAATCACACAGCAAGAACAACGTGGCTCTTGCCCCAGCAAGGAGAGCAGTGGGTTTCTGAGCAGGACAGAGAGGGGTGATGGGAACAGGGTGGGGATACACAGGGTGCCCCTCCTCACGCGGGCCCGCAAGGACCCAGGAACCCAAAGAGTCTCCCTTCCGGGGGCTAGAATGTAAAACGTCAGAGCAGCAGATCACCCCACCTGTCAGCTTGCTGTGTGCTCTGGGGCGGGGTGCCTGCCTTCTCTGAGCCTCGGCAGAGTGAAGAAGAGAGGCTCTTGAGGAGAGGGGGGAACCAGATTCTGAATCTGGGGTTCAAATCGACTTCTAGCCTGGGGATGATCATCACTCACATCGTGCTCCCTCTCTCTGCCTCAGTTTCTCCATCTGGGTATCCACCACGAGGTCAGTTATCACCAGGGATATTGGAGTCACCCCATGTTCCCACCTCGCGCGCCCCTCCCTTGGAAGGAGGCCTTGGTCCAGGCGCCCTGGGTCCCCAAAATCCTTCCTCCTCTGGCCACCCGCCTTTGGGACCCTCTGTGTCCCCGCGGGCTGAGGACTTTGTTGGGGGGGGGAGGAGAAATGGACCACAGGCAACTTTGGAGCCCAAGTTCCCTGCGCCCCGGGGCCTGGCCGAGGCTGGGGGTGCACGGGATCCCCTCTTCCCTCCCCGACCCCGGGCCTCACCTGAGTTCCAGGATGTCCTCCAGCGCTTCCCAGGGGGCCGGGGGCTGCGGCCCGTCCATGGCAGGGCCGAGGCCGGGTG